GTAAGTAGAGCAGGCTAAGAACAAATAAAATTAACAAATTTATCTCATTTAAATTGTGTGCTAGTGATGTACTGGAACTGTAAGATCCACATGTCCATAACTACGTTAATGTTTATCATTGAAAAAAATAAGAAATAAAATGTTGCGTGAAAGAGTAGGGGCACAAAGTTTTACTTTTTTGAATGGTATGCCTACATAAATGAGCAAGGATCGTAATAGGTGAATTTTGCAGGATTTAAAACAATCTCTATAATATTGATACGCCATATAATTAATTTCGTGCGCTGAGTATGCAAGAAAACTAAAATAATTTTTGGATTTTGATCCTATTTTTATGTTTCAATTATTTCCAGACTCGTGTACAGCAGGACCACAGCTGTTGGCTGAAGAATCAAGAGACAAGAAATACATTTCATTTCAGTAATAAAATTTTAATTGAATTAATAGAAACCGTTTCTTATCTTATTTCGGGTCCACATTTAAGTCCAATCTTGTCCAAATATCCCCTCATCAACATTGGACATAAATACGGACTCGATACTTACCTAAAATTAATAAAAAATATTAAGTGGAAATCTCGGTTTCTACCTAGTATGTTTTATCGATATCGATAAGAAGCTAAGCTAGCTTGGTTAAGCACTATTTGGCTCATTACGTGGGTACTCCTGCTGTTTGACATCTTTGTGGCATTCTTATGGTATGGTTGGTATTGGAGTGCCGCGTAAACTGATATTTTTGACTAGTATGGAAGTCCCGTCTCTTAAACCTAGTGATTACATTCTCATTGTATGGAACCATAAAAACAAAATATATTAAAATACATTGTGTTGTCAGATTTGTACTGTCAATTTACAGCGTGACCATTGATACGGCAATTTCCATATTATATGGTAATTCGAACACATAACGTCAGGTAATACGGCATACGGCAGGTTTTGCATTACCGTATAATAATATACGGCAATACAATGTTGCTTCACAAGGCTACTGTTATAAGTTAAGTTTTTATTATTCAAACCAAACACGGATAAAACGGAATTAAGAAGCTTAACCAAGAGGCTCCCTAGTAGAATTTGCAGAAATTTGAAACAAATCTAAATGTCATGACTTAGTTGCAACAACCTGCAAAGAAAACAAAAATTCGACATTTTTTTTTTTTCTATGTGAAAAGTTGCCAAACGAGCACATGGTTCACCTGATGTTAAGTGTATACCGCCGCCCATGGACATCTGCTACACCCGAGGGTTTGCAGATGCGTTGACAACCTTTTTGGAAATGGAGCTCCGGCTACCTCACTCACCAGACGAAACGCGAAAGAGAGTTCTTCTGTGAGGCATTAGGACAAATATTGTTTACGTAAACATGGCAGCGGAGTAATTGAATCGATTAGAGATTGCTATGGTAATTATGTATATCGATAACCCGAATGGCGTAGTGGGTAGTGTGCCTGCCTCCTGCGTCAGTGTGTGGGTTCGATCCCCACTACTGGAAAAATATTGTATGATGAACATTCTGTTTTTCCAGTGTTTGGGTGTTTATATATGTATAATATGTATTTATTTACAAAAGAAAAGCATGTTTCAGTATGTTTATCAGTTATCTAGTATCCATTGTACAAGCGTTGCTTAGTTTGGGGCTATAGAACGTGGTGTAAAAATGTGTCGTAAAAATATTAAAAAATATATTAATGAGTAAGTTATATTTTTTTCCGGTAATTTGTATTTTTCAAAAGGTAAATTTCATGATTATTGTTTAGAAATACGATATTCTAGTATATCGAATACGACAACTTTGGCAGTGAGGCATGTATAATAAACTCTAGCAAAAGAAGTGTCGCTTTATAAGTACGTATACTATAATATAAACTTGAGTTATACTATCATTGAAAATTGATTTTGGCGTGTAACTAAACCATCTGCTGAGTTGGGGCATCCAAGTTTCAGTCGTGTACTTAAATGTGTTTAAATGATACCTTGGATGTATAACAGAGGTTAAACCTTAAGTACCTAATGTGCGCAACGACATACCTACTGCGAGCGTTTTTGTCCCGGAGGTGGTCTACTGGCAATTTTGTCAACATGGAACTGTTTTATTGGCTTCGTAACATGACATGTTTCGGTTTAATTTCAGTTTATTATTTTTGTACCTTTTGTAAGATTTAGTCGATTTGGTTTTATTTAATTGATATAACAACTTACAAATTCATAAATCACTACCACTCTAAAGATAGTTTATATTAAAAGGAAATTAAAATTATAAAAGTGATTATAGAGAATTCAATGTTCAAAAGATTGAATCGCAATCGACTGAAAGAAAGTGCTGAAAAGAAAAGAGATTAGAACAGTTGTTTTTTTAGCCGCGTTAGAAGAAATGCAATTTGGCAATTCGACCTGGTACACCAAATCCCTACTAATATTATAAATGTGAATCTAAGTTTGTTTGTTATGCTTTAACGCCAAAACTACTCAACCGATTATCATGAACTTGTACACCTAATCTTAAAGGTATTGAAAAGGACAGGATTTTTTTTAAATAAAAAAATATATTATACAACTTCTGATTATAACATGACAAATGTATGTGACAATAGGCTTATAGTGTTTTATTTCATTATGCATTCAGTGCGTCATTCATCATAGCCGTAGCAACGCGTCCTTGAAAAACACTTGTTATGCATATAGCCTCTTTGTTATGCATTCATGAGCAAAACGTTATTTAACATGAAAGAAAATGCATTTTCACCAGGTGCAAACACTCTCAAGGCTCTAAGATTCACAGCCATCTAATTTTCCATAGGTGTCTGTTTTATTTTCATGCATGCTATTACAGACGATTTCCGTAAGATGCTTCTTTTTGCCTTCGCCGTACAAGATATATTAAAGCAGTATGCATCAACGATAAATATGGTTAGTGCAGAAAATGTGGGAGATGTTACAGAGTTTGATGGGATGAGTTTTTGGAGAATAATACAAAGTGAACCAGTCGACGAATGAGATGTTTGGGGATGATGAATTGACAGATCATCGGGCTTATCTTAGTTTGATGTTGAATCGATTTTTAAATATTTACGAATCGAATATATGTTAATAATGTTTGGTGATAGGCGACCACATTTAAGACGTTGTGAGTGTCTATGGGTGGCGGCCTATAATTGCCATCTATTAAGAAAAACTTCGATGTGGTCTAATTATAGCCAGCATTGATAGATTACAAAGTACACAATTTGATAAATTGAGTTACTGTTTTCGTAATGCTTTTTTATTTACTTATTTCCATTTTCATAGGTACATGTGGATGATAATAATAAGTTATCAATTAAGAGATTATAGAGTATTTCACGCTAAATCGAGGAGAGAGTTGGACGCAACGTAAATACGGGATAATCGGTTGGCCGAGATTGGATCGCTCTCGACGCTAATAGGTATGCGGCAATCTAAGCTTGACAAAAAGCTTTACTAAGTCTGAAAAAGAAATTAAACTTTAGATTAATATTTAGTTCTTAATTTTTTCTTAGTTTCAATGTTACAAAACAATAATAAATATAATTTGGTTCATAATGTATCTAATAGTGCATACAGTCTCAGTTAGATTATATTATAGTTAGTATATACTCATATATTCCCTGCTGTAAAAGGACATAGTCATCGTTATCCTTAGATACAATCCGTTATTCAGCTTATTTAATTAACTCCTATTCTAAGTTTGCTCTATTCTTGAACTAATAAAATTTTTACTTTACGGGTAACAGTGCCTTGTGAAATGATGTATGGATCCGAATGTTGGGCAGCAAAAGAGACGAATGAAAGAAAAATATGAATGAAAGATAAGAAAGAGAAGATGCGTGGTGTAACTAGAAAGGATAAGATAGGAAATGAGTATATATGGGAAAGCTTGAAAGTGGTACCAGTGATTGAGAAAATAGGTAGTGGTAGATTGACAATGTATGGGAACATTATGAGAAGGGATGAAAGTCATGTAACTAGAAGAAGGGATGAAAGAATGAAGGGATGAAAAGAAGAAGGGATGAAAGTTATGTAACTAGAAGAGTGATGAATATAAATATGGTTGGAGGGTGCAAAGCTAGAGTAAAATCGAAAAAGATTTGGATGGACTGTGTGAAGAATTATATGTCTGTGAAAGGGGTCAGTATTGATATGACGCCTGATAGAGGAAAGTGGAAGGATGTAGGTACTCACATGTTGTCCCGACCCCACCTAGTGTGGATTAAGGGCAAGAGAAAGAAGAAGAAGAAGTGCCTTGTGAATTGTTTTTAAAAATTCGCAGAGAAAAATAAAATATTAATACGGATTCATAGTGCAAAGACATATTACACTGAAGCTACGGTATTTCATTTAAAATGCATTTAACTAAAAAAAATTACACGGACGGATGTGAAAGATGCACGTCAAAAGAGTCGCACTCGTCATTGTGCAAATATTGCCTCCGAGCTCATAACTGAAGTTTTAAACGTAACATTTCATATTTCACTTCATTTCAATAAACCAGTTCTATAAAATGTGAATTAATTTTTATGTTTGCTGTACCTTTTTTAACTGTATTTATAAGCAAGCAATATCCCTATATATTTAGAGTTCCGTAGCCAAATCGTAAAACGGGACCCTATTACTAAGACTCAGCTGTCTGCATGTCTTTCTGTCCGTCTGTCACCAGGCTATGTCTCATGAACTGTCATAGTTAGTCAGTTGAAATTTACAATTGATGTACTTCTGTTGCCTCTAACAACAAATACTAAAAAAAGATTAATTTTTTTTTAAGAGAGGCTTTCATACAACAGACATGATTTTTTACCGTTTTTAATGATGGAATCCGAAATAGTTTGGCCATATCAAAGACTTTAAAGTTATAACAGACCTCATATTATCTAATTAATCCATGCTCAATGGACGAAATACGAAAATGTAAAAAAACAGTTATTCACAACATCTCACGAGTAACAGATGTTAACGGAGCACAGCGTGCGATGCGATCCGCGAGATTAAATGCGAAGCCTTGATAGGGACATGACTGCAGCCAAGTGTAAAATCATTAGCGCCGGCATGCACAATAGCCTTGTGCGTTAGTATTGTATTGTGTGTGCCGTCTGAAAAACGGGCTCACACGCGGGCTTCGGGCTTCTGGACAACTGTTGAGCGCACATCTGCGCCGCGAGCACACCCGCTGTCTCGGTATTAAGGCTTTAAGGCTACGCTCGGGCGCCGCTCGCACTTATTCCCGCACTAGTCTCGGTCGGCAGCGGACGCGCCCGTCTGCCCTCTCGCATCTCGCACCGCAAACACACGCACGGCAATATGATGCGCCTGACGATTTGTGCAATTGCAGCTTTGTGCTGTTTCGCGAACTTTCCCGTGGATGCGGCCGAGTTCAACATCAAGCAGGAGCTCCAGGCCATGGCGGAGCAGATTGAAATGCTGAAAACCTCGCACTTGAACGATGTTACACGCCTCCAGAAGGAGATTGAAGAGTTGAAGTAAGTGCGACTTAGCTGTAAAGAAGACTTTTTGCATTATTTGCGAGTTGGATTTCGTGTTAAGAAAATAATGTTGACAATCGTCCGTAATGTAATCATTTTTCGTCACTTGCTACGCTTTTAAGTTGAAAACATTGTTAAATTATAATGCTGTGCGCGTTTATTTCTCGTGTACTGAAATGAATTTTAACTTGAACCGCTTGTGCAGTCATTTAAGCTGGAGCGAGTTTCATATATTAAGATAATATTGTTAAATCCAACATTCACAAATAATGTCCGTTTAAAATTCTGGTTTGGTAACTTTAAGTTTTTTTTAACTTTCTTTTCTTGTTAATGAAAATATTTATTTTCTTATATTGCAGCGTTAAATGTTTTATCTCGTTTGCAATTTAAGAATTAGGAATTTTTATTATCAACATAGATATAGAGCCAATGCGGTATTGTACATGGAAAATAGTTGGTTTTCGGGCATCGAACAAATAGTGCATAATTATTTTAAACGCGAATGAGTCATAATTAATGCTTTACTTTTGATTGAGTTTTAACAACGGTATTGCAACGCTCCGTCGGCGGCGGCGTGTACAAACTCGACGCATGAATTTTTAAAAACATTTAACAGGACTCAATTTTCACCAAAATGAATAATAAGACGAATTTTTAAAATCCCCCAATTAGAACGATTATATCTTTATTTTATCTAAGAGCATATAAACCCGTTCTTTATGTTCTTGGCACGATACTGCGTGGAGAAGTTTTAACAATAATCTATTACTTAATTGGTTAATGAAGTGAAATCTTGAGAAAACATGCATATTTTTGAAACATTAAAAAAATATTTCGATGATATGTGAAGACCGTCAACCCACAGTGGGGTCGCATAGAGTGCTTTGCCCTAATACCGTCTGAACAAAGTAGCCTTTGGCCAGCAGTGCACAAAGATAAACTTTAACTTTCAATTTAATTAGTATTTGTAAATCATCTGAATACTTTCATTACTATCGCGATAAAGAAACGTTTGATTACGGAACCGCGCTTTGGGGATGGAAGTTTTAATAAAGTATTCATTTTTAAACAATAAATAAATTTTATTTTTAAATATTGAATAGATAAATGATGATAATTTTATGTGGGATAGTTATAATTTAGTTAGGTATGTGACCGGGATTATGCGCGATAAGATATATAGAGATATAATAAAAAAAAATGTATAGGTCAGTTATCGTCATTGAAATAAATAAGTTTTTTTAAAAATAAATATTAAATAATTAATTGCATAAAAATAATTAATAAATAAATTTTATTAAATAAATAAATTTTATTTTTAAATTTTGAATAGATAGATGATGATAATTTCATGTAGGATAGTTATAATTTAGTTAGGTATGTGACCGTGATTAAGCGCGATAAGGTATATAGAGATATAATTAAAAAAATGTATAGGTCAGTACGTACGTCATTTTTAACTATCTTACGCGATTTGAGACCTCAGCGTCGATAGGCAGTTGAAAGAGTACACACACAAGAGTAAGGGGAATAATACACCGCGTATTGTAACAATTTTTATACCTGAGTTTAGGGTATTGCAGCCTTAAGCATTCCATTCAATTTTGATGTATCAATCTCATGGAGAGTTAAATGAGGAAAAGAAGAACTACTAATGAATTGTACATCGCGAAGGACTATAATTATAGAAATTTAATGCATTCTGTATCCGAAATTCGTGCTTATATGATATACTGTGAAGTGATTTACGTATTCCAATCAGAGACGTTGGTTTATGTAGTAAGAGCCGTGATAGCTCAGTGTCCGAGCGCTCGTCTTTAAATCAATGTACTCGAGCGACCCGAGTTCGATCCCCGGTGACCAAATAAATTGTTAATTTTAAGTCCTGAATTATCACGTGCTCAGCGATGAAGGAAAACATCGTGAGGAAACCTGCATATTTTCGACTACCTATTTCGAAGATATGGGAAGTCCGCCAATCCACTGCGGCCTTATACCCTCTGTGCAGAATTCTGAAGCCATTGCCCAGCAGTGCAACAGAAATAGGCTGATATTTTATCAAGTAAAGTAATTAGAAACCCCACTTGCGTTAGCGGTTTCGCGCCGACGCTCGTAATATGGTAGCGCTAGGAGCGACCGAACACGCGCCAGCCGCCCATACAAGAACGGGCATCGCAAGACGTGTCATAATTTAAATTTTGTGACTTCTTAGCGCTCTGAGAGGCGGAATAAGTGCCTTTCGATGAGCAGGCCCTACGTGAAGAGCGACACAATTCGCATTTGCTGTATCGGCAACATTGTTGCATTGCCGACTAAACGTTTGGGATTGACATATCTGGAATGTGTATGTCGTTCATACAATCTTTTACGGTTACGCGAAGTGCATTATTTAAAATCGCTTTAGAATCCAAAACCAGACCCGACCTTAAACCTCTGGTGATGTAGTTTATTTCTCCTTATGAATAGCGGACTAGATCTGATACGTATTCTGAGCTGTGTGACTAGTCGAATTTCATAAGATAATGCCGCTTTTAGCTCTCGGAGCGAATAAAACAAATAATGGCATACATACTACACCGGATACCCTTTTCAAGGCGGTCCATTGTTGACGTGGTACAACGCAGTGATTACTTATGTTTATTTGCAGCGGAATATTACACAGATCTTTAAGTTGAAATGTACTACTAAAGGTATGGTGGAAATCTAATCTAAAACCTTGCCTATATATATATATATATATATATAGGCAAGGTATATCGAGATATATCGAGATTCAGATTATATATATATATATATATATATATATATATATATATATATATATATATATATATATATATATAATCTGAATCTCGGAAACGGCTTAAATTATTTTCATAAAAATTTGTGTGCAGAGAGTTTCGAGAGCGATTAATCGATCTAGCTAGGTCTCATTTCCTTTTTCTAAACGTCATTTTATCTGTGTTTTTAGGCAATGAAAAATTGATACAATAGCATAAGAATACTACGGCTAATGACTATACTTATAGTAGCTCAGGTGCGAAATGGAGCGGTTCCGAAAACAAAATCCCGTCTCGATTCCATATGTTTTTTTTCTTTCTTCTTATTTTTTTCCCTTTTTTTCCAAGTTCCTTCTTTTGTGAGAAAAAAAACCGCGCAAAGCTCAGTCATCTGACTGAGCTTTTGCTCGGGTTGAGACATGACCGATTATGTAATTAAATTCTTTTGATTATTACAAATTATTAATTGAGATATTTTGTTTTGTATAAATGTTTTATTAAAATTTCTTAAAAGTCTGATATACAATAATTACTTATCGATAAAATAGAAATAAATCGTTTTATCATTTTGAGAAAATATGAATTCAAATTATTTATACACATAATTTTTTTATTATGTTTCATACATAAATCTACATATGTATTGGTAAATAAAGTGCTGAACATTGTACACCTTATAAAGTTTTATAATATAATAAAAGATAATATAAGAACTTTTAACTAAAAAGCGTTCACGTACGTATGAAAGGTCTCATCAACCTTTCGACATTTAATTACAAGAGTTAGGTTTCGTTAAACTGTAACAAGCCGGTATGAAAGTTTCACGTCTGTTTCTTGGAAAGACCATACAAATTTACATCATAACTTTTCATGTCAATGCTCAGTAGCTTCAGAACTTTACATTTCTCGTTCACAGATTTAGGGCACGTCCGCTCTTTTCTTGTAACTAGTCGTCGCCAAGTGGTCGACCATATATAATTAAAATTATAACTTTGTGTATATGCGTCTGTGCGTCAAAGACATGATAGTATGTGCAATTAATATTTTGATAGAGCTAATCACTTTCCTAATTTTAATGTTTAAGCACTTAAGATTAAACATTAAAATTAGGAAAATGTACGAAAAGTTTTTGGAATTTGAAAAATTGAACCCACGTCTTCGGGATTCGCGTCTGACGCTTTAGCCATTAAGCAAAACAGCTGATTGCCACACCTACGTCTTTTATCTACATTGTTTTTTAGCATTTGAAGCAATGCTTGGCGCATCCATTGTTATATCCTTTCCAGCATACAATCAATTTCGAATATTGTTTTACAACGCTCATTATAACGAGGAATGTCGCCATTACTTGTTAGAAATTTATATTTTGATATTGCTACTCTCTGCACTTAAGATTAAAATTTATAGAAAACGATTTTTTTTCTTTTTGCGTTTCGCTTATTGCAAATTAACATTCTGCCCTCCTTCTCTATATACTCATAAACTATAAGTGTGGGAAAGGTCATACTCCTCCGTCTGCGCAATTTTTGTAAAAAGGGACACAAGTTTTCCCTTCACATGCTAAATTAGATATCGATAGATTAAATAGAGAACCATGTAAACGATATTATCGTTCGCCTATTTAATATATATATATATATATGGTAATGCCGATGTAATGCTGAGATGCGGTAGGCTAGTATATAATTATATTATCTACTTTTTTTATTATATAGTATATAAAACTTCCTTTGATCTGAAACCCGATTTCAGGACAAACTAGTGTTGCCTAGGCTAAACTAGTTCTTTCTATACGCGATAGGAGTAACAAGTTTAGCCTAGTCCAAAGTAATTTGTCCTAAGCCCGATAGCATAAACCAGTTTAGGCTAAGCCAAACTAATTGATCCTGATATAAATACGCACACTCTAGGATAAACTGGTATGGCCTAGTCTAAACATTATAGTATATCTAGGAAGTCAAAATACATAGATAAACTGCATAAAATACTCCGTAATTGGAAAAAAAATAATCATTATTATTAAAACCATAATGATTCGTCGTTAAAAGTTATGGATAACTGGTAATACAAACAATCATAATATAACAAATAATAAATGTTTTTAATAGAATCAATAACCGAGATATGGTCTTAATAAAATCGTTATTTATTTTTACATGATTTGCTTTGGTGGCACTTAGAATTGCATAGTATCTTTGCCTTCTTGCACTGGTATCT